TCTTCTCCTCGTCATCCGCAGGTACGCCCGAAACGCCTCCTTCCCCCAACTCCTCCTCCCCGCCGATCCTTCGCTTCCCCGTGGCCCTGGACCGGCGCTGACAGTTTCTTTCCCGGCTCCCGCAGGCGATTCCAGCATGGTGGTCGTCGGCTCCGCGGACTCCTTCGAGGACATCCACGCCAAGGTGCAAGGTGCGGCGCCGATCCCCTCCCTTCTCGCTCCAGCTTTTCCACCGATTCTGTTGGCACTACGATGCGTGCGCGAGTTTCGTTCTCACGTGTGTGGTGTGGTGGCTCTTGCCTTTTGCAGTGGAGAAGCTCCCCGCCGTCTTCTACTACACGGCGGTCTGGTGCGGGCCGTGTAAGTGCCGCCTCCGTGCCATGAATTGGGATTTGAGTGAGTGACTAGAGAGAGCTACAATTATGTTGTTTGGTGTTGCAGGTCGGATGATGGCACCTGTGATTGAGAAGATGAGCAGGCAGTACCCCAAGATACCCGTGTACAAGGTCGACATCGACATGGTAAGCGATCGGATTTCAGCCTTGCTGTAATGTTCATCTGCTAGCATATTCCATGTTAAAGTGTGCTCTGTTTGGATATGAATGGTAAATTTGCATGAGTGTGACTGTATGAGTCTGTTCTAAGTTGTAACCTTATTTTACCAAAGATCACTGCATCACACTCCTTGTGTTCATTCGTCAAGTTGTGTCACGTAAACTGCGACGTTTGAAATTAAGTTATGACAAGTAATTGTTGATAAGACCATGCCTGTTAAAATGAAGCCTTAAGTTGTGATCTCATAGAGTTGGATCTAAATAAATATATCTGTCAGCTTTCTTGGTGAATCAAGTTTGGGCTCACTCAGAGCCACATTTTCTTGTTCACTTGGCTCTCTTAGGAGTTTGAGAATTAAGTTAGCACCGTCACTTGTCCAGGATCATTGTAAAAGTTGCTTCATAACTAGTCCACAGTTAGTTGGATATTCTGTAGGCTCGATCTTTCCAAAAATCTAGCAGGAGGCTTTTGCCGGTGCTAAGTCCTGATTGTTTGGTACGTGTGCCCTTGTTCTTTCTGTAAAACTCCTTAATTAATATGATGAGGCAAAGCTTTTGCCTCCGTTTAAGAAAATATCTATGTGGTGTCACTTGGGCGAAAGTTGTGATGTGGTCATAAGGTCAGTATAGCACCCATTGGGAGGATTTATGCAGAATTACTCTGTTAGAGCATCTCTAGCAGACCCCTTAAACCGCGGAACTGAAAACGCGGTTTTCAGTTCGCGGAAAACGCGTTTTAAGGGTTGGTTTGAGCTGCGGCCGAACAGAGCCCTTGAACTTAAACTGTAAAACCGAATATTCGCTTATATTTTTTTCCAAGTCTTCTTCTTCCTCTCGGCCGTGTCCACGATCAGCTAACTCGCTCCTACGAAACTGGCGTACAGCGCACGAAGTGGCCAAATACGAAGCCGCCGGCGTCTAGCTAGCTGGAAGCGACCAAATACGAAGCCGCCGGCGACCAAAGACAGCGCACGAAGCTAGCTAGCTAGCTAGCTCGAATCAATTCAGCTAGCTAGTTAGCTAGCTCCTTCGTCCGCTCCCCTTAAAAAAGTTACAGGTCGTAGTTGTTTACGGGTTCTATTCCGGTCGCTTTTTCCGTCTAAAACTGTAAACCGGCGGTTATTTTACAGTTTCGTGCGTTTTAAGGGGTTTGCTAGAGATGCTCTTAGGTTGGTGGAATTGCACTATGACCATTAAAAAAGTTTGCTCCTATACCATACATGCTAAAGGGAAGCCTCAAGTTGTACTCTGTTAGGTTGGTTGGTTGGTTCAGCATAGCTATATTTGCCAGCTTTCTAGCATTACGACGGTTGAAGCTTGGTATAACTCAGAGCCACAGTATTTTTTCTCTCTCAGTTAGCCTTCTTTTAGAACTTTGAGAATACATGAAATTGCTTTGTAACTGGTCTGCACTTAGTTAAGCAAATTCGTCCAGACGAGTTACCTTCGGCAACATATTCCAGACACGCATGATCTATGCAGTATCACTTGCCTGAAAGTGATGATGCGGTACCAGGCATGTACCCAGTATAGACCAATGCAATTTAGTAATCCTATTTAAAATTACTGTTCATGATTTCCTTGTATGGGCATACTCATTTTTTTATAGTAAGAGATTGACTTGACAGTTAGTCCATACCTGCATAGTGCTCTCAGTAGAAAAGATTCAAAATCAAGTACTGTTTGTTGAGGTGCTGTTCAGTTCAGTGTTTTTACTCTATTGTGAATTTGGGATTGCGTGTAAAGGGGACAAATGTTACAGTGGTTACTTCAGTTTGTTAACTGGATGTCTTATTGGGAATAAACACCACGACAGTTGTCAGCACATGCCAGGTGGAATGCATTTGACCATGCAAGGTGGAATGCATTTCAAATACATTAAAAGTCATTGCTGTTGTGGCTATATTTATATTTCTCAACAGTATGCCTGCTCCTGTTATTGATACACTATTTCTTTTCCTCTTGTGCTGCAGGATGGACTTGGGACCAGACTTAGTAACCTGAAAATATTCTCCATCGTAAGTTGAATACCTGAAATTGTAATTCATGATATTTTTGTTCTTATTTTTACAGTACTATTCTGTTTCATGGTAATGATGCGTTACATATGTTTTTGTGACTGGAGGAGTCTGAGAATATGCATTGATTCAACCTTACTTTTTTTAAATGCATACGTGCATGTTCGTTGAGTTCACTTAAAGTGAGAGCCAGATTATAGAAATATCCTTCTACCAGCATGTTTGTGTATTTTGTGTTCTTACCAACCTTCATCCTAACTCATAATCCAAATATTTGACTCTTGCTGAATCTGGCACAGCCAACTTTCCACTTCTATCACAAAGGCGAGAAGAGCAGCGAAGTGGTTGGTGCTGACGTGAAGAAGCTTGAAGCTGCCATGGAAAGTCTTCACAAGTAAGATCTTATATTTCTTCTCGTCCTTTTTTTCTTTTTCTTGGTACACAAACAGTACAGTGCTGTTTGAATGATCTCATCTGCGGTGAAGTAAACGAGAATAAACAAGCCTGGCCATGATAGTTTGAATCTTGTACTCAACTACAAGCGTAATTATGCTACGGGCCTATATTAAACATGTCTCCAGCACTTTGTATTGTGATGCTCTTGACATTATACTTTATATTGCCGTGCTCTTGACTTTATACATTGTACGTGCACAGGCAACAGTGAAGTTGACTTGGAAGGGGACAGTTCCTTTGCATGAAGAGTTGAAGACGCTGTAATGCTTTGTGATTTTGCGTGTTTGACATGGAAACTTCTGCCTTACGATCTTGTTTCGATATCTGGATACACCTTGGCTGCAAAACATCGATACCTGGATTTATGCCACTCTGAGCACAGGTTTTGTGCAGTTTCTGCATGTCTATTTAGGAGCATCTGTGATTGTGAATGTGTCTATATCGTGGCGCTGCTCTCCATCTCTGATGGTTGGGCCTGACTTGCGTGTGGTCTCGGCCTTTGGCACAAACTGTGATCTTGAACTGTCATGTTCTTCTCTCCTTGGTCTTCCTTACAAGTAGTTTATGCTGCTGCTTGAATGATCTCATCATTTGCCAGAGTAAATGAAAGTAAAACATGATTAGCGACGATGAGTTGAGCCCTCCAACGAAACACCTCTTGCGATAATGCAACAGTGGAAGATTCAAGCCAAGACGTTGTAATACTTGTGATCAGAATCTGCATTGACGTGGAAGATCCAGGTTTTCTCGGGAGTGGGCACGATCTGAACCCAGGGGCATCTGCACCCACTTCTCAAAAAGAATGCATTGTAAGCACATTTTAAAATCTCAAAAAAATTGAATGAAAGTTTCATACATGTTCACAAATGTGTGTGCGCGGTGCAAAGTTTTGTGAAAAAATGTCTTTTTATTTTGTCTTTGTAAAAAAGACAAATTCCAGTGCTTCTAAATAGCGTTTCACAAAACAATTTTTAGTCAAAAAAAAGTTATTTTTCCGTGAAACTTTATGCATGCACGTAGAACACGAAGACGTACCGATGCCATCTTTTTCGGATTTTTTTACCATATAAAAATTTATTTTTCAAAGTGGGTTCATATGCACCTGGATTCGTCCATGCACTTTCCGTTTTCTCGGTCGTTATGATTGGTGGCTATGAAAGAAACATCGATGCGGTTTTTGGAAGCATGATCTGCGGATCTTTCTAACTGGCAGTACCAGGCACCGGTGCCTCTGTGGATCTGTGCCTCTGTCCGATGGTCCGGCTGGACTCGTATGACAGCCTGGGTTTCGGTCTTGACTGTATGAATAATTGTTCAAACGGCGCTTGCTGGCCTATCATTCAGCGTTTTCTTTTTATAAACACAGTACAAATACAGACGAATACATACACAAATGCACCTAGCTTCCTCTAAGCTTAGCCAAAAGCGCAGCACTATATGCAGTGGGTGAAACCAACGGGAATAATCTGTAGGATGTTGGTAATTTTTGAGATAATTTTCTTCATAATGTACAGTAACTGTACAGTATTTGTAGGCTATTTTCTCTGAGAGCTGTGGGGTCGACTGACCCGTGGATTACACGTAGAATCGCCACTGACTGTATGGTATTTGGGTACATCCTTTGGACTGGTTCCACAAAGATATTAATTAAGTTAATAATGTCATTCATGAAAGGAATGTCATGTAGGGACAAATTATTGTTTAAATCGAAATAAAAGGTTTGGATGCTCGGAGCACCCTGGAGAGACCGAGGAGGCATATATCTTGAGATTAACGGATGCCTCACCAGAGAAGTTGAAATAAATTCTATCTATACCTACTAATAAAGCAAGGTGCGTTTTTTCTATTTTTTTCATCCGTCCTCTGACGAAAAGATTTCTTTTTAACCTGAGGTGGTATTAAACTTTTGTACATTCGTATGCTAGAAAAGAAAAATGTTTTGTCCAGGATTTTGTACCGCGCGCCAAGGTCCTGCGAAGCCAGACCGCTTATTTTCCTGCCTCCACAACTGGAAGAACCCTATTTGCCGCAGGGAGCGTCAAATACCCAGACCTTCGCACAGGTCGCCCAATATTGGCCGGCCCATTTTTGTTTTATCCTCTATTCAGTCTCTTTTCTGTTTCTTTCTATTTTTCTTTTCTATTTCATTTTACTTTTTTCACTTTCAAGTTTAATTTCTTTTTTTTCTTTTTAAGAAATTAGAAGTTTTCGAAAAACCTCAGAATTCTCATTTTTGTTCAAGTTTTCGATAAAGGTTTCAAATTCTGAAAAAGTTTCTGTTTTGAATGTTTTTTTGGAAATTTAACCTTTTTCTCAATTTTCCAAAAAATGTTTGTATTTTGCACAATTAATCATGATTTCCAATATTTCCTTTTGAATTTAAAAATGTTTCAAATCTGAAAATGTTGTTATTTTAGTGAAATGTTTACGAAATTAAAATAATTTTGTTATTTGAAAAACACATTTTCAAAATTTGCTCTGAATGTTCAAAACATGTTTCCATTTTAAAAAGGTGTTCACTAATTCATTTTTTTCATGTTATTATAAAAGGTTCATGTTTTCAGAAAATGTTTGTGAATTTTGAAAAATATGCGAATTGAAAATGTTTTCCATGTTTGTCGGAAACATTCATAATTTTCAAAAAAACTGTTTGGAATATCAAAATTTGTTCATGTTTCAAAGAATATTTGCAAAGTAATTCATATTTTTTATGATAAGTTTGAATAAAAATGTTTCGAATCTAACGTTGCATTATTTTCTTAAATATTCGCGCTGCTCATTGGTTATTAGGGCATGTTTGTTCGACTAGCTGGCACCACGTCGTCGGGTCTTTGATTTATGCGCTGCAATTAGTAATTCATCTGGTTAAGCCGTGATAAGAGATACCGTCCAACCCCACCACTATCACGATCTCGTAGGCCAAACATGACCCGCGAGAAGATCGCAGCTCCTAGCTCTGTCGGCCACCACTGCGGAGACTGATTTTGGATGACACATCATTTTTCTCCTGTTGCTTCTCGTAATAAATATTTTTTTCGTTACAACACCGGCATATGTGCTAGTATAGACCTAAGACTATCCACAGTGGGAGTAACTTCAGCAGTAACATCGACTCCAACTCAACAAATTTGCTTATGTGGCAATGAGTTAATGAGGAGAGAGGTAATTTGAGTAACTTAACTAGTTACTGTAACATCACATGTCCCAATGCAGTATGAGTCTATTACCTAATAAATGAAGCTTTGCATGACACCAAACTTATGTTACTACCCACTATAAAGGTAGTAACATAGTCTAGAGATATCTGTATGTTACTAGTGTATGTTACTCTCCATTGTGGCTAGTCTAAGAAATTCATCTTCACTATCTTATTTATCTTAACATGCAATCTATACACTCATCACATATGTTCACACATGCCCCCTCCTATTTGAATGCACATGCAAACCATCCACATCATCAAGTGCACGCAATCACTTCACTATTTTTTTTTGCGGATGAACAATCAATTCACTTTCCACCACATGCATGCCCTCCACATCATCAAAGAAGAATCAAAACCTCCCACATTATCTAGTTTTAAATTTAATTTTCATTAATAAATAACTGAACTTCAATGTCACATGACAATATAACATGCATCCATCCTCCATTTATCTCTACGTTCAATGTGGTGCGGTACTATTATCATATATTCTAATTTTAATTTTAATAATTTCATTGTTAAAGAAATCTACTGCAACACGCGGGGCGTTACCTAGTTTATGAAACTTGCGACATCCATCCGTGTCAAGTCTAGGGACTTAAACCTGAGCGGTTGGTTTCACCACAAGAAATCTATGCTTAGCTGGCTTTTTTTTAGCGGGCGGCGACAGGGCGGTCACGGACGACGAAACCTATAGCATTGCCAAATAAACCCGGTCTCGCTCTGCTCCCGTTCGTTACCGGCCTGTCGTCGTGTCTGCAGACGCGCACGATACCGAGCCAGGAGAGGGGTCCGGCCCGGCCGGGTCTGGCACTGCCACCACACATGCATGCTCCCCACTGTGAGCCTGTGACACCGCTGCGCCGGGCACGCTCCCGCCCGCTGGAGGCTGTTCCCCGAGGAGAGGAGCGGAGAGGATAGGGTCGGCAACGGCCCGCCTGCGTGTCTCCCGTCCAAGTGACAGTAACACCCATCGGCATCGTCAGGCGTGGCACGTGAACGGGCCAGCTAGCCAGTCAGTCGATCTACGCAGATCACGCACGCGCGCACGTACGTCCGGTTCGTCACTGTGCGATGAAGACGGTGATGCGATGCAGCCCGTTGCAATCTGCAGCCGCACGGCCTCGGTTCAAAACCAATAATGCACGCACGTACTACGTACATCTGCCTTGCATGCGTACGCGCGCTGCCGCTGGTGCGCTGGCGGGCAGGACCACCCGCACCCACGACGACGACGACTCTTGGCCTCTTCCGGCGACCGGCGGCCAGGCGGCCGGGCCCGCCGTGGAAGGAAGCGCCGCGCTGCTCACATGGCGCCCACGTCCCAGGGGCGCCATGGCTGTCGCCACGCGGGGTGGCTGCACTGTTGCTTGCCTTATCTGCTTCTTGCCATCTCTAGCAGTTGCTGCCCTCGACTGGCCTCCATCGACTCCCCCTGCAATCACATTCTCCGGTCCGGTCTCTCGCTAATGGCAACTTGCTCGCAAAGTTGCTGGTCTCTGTCATGCCTTCTCTCTTTTCTTTAACTAGAAAAAAAGTGTCTGTCATGCCTCGGCCCCTGCCCACGGCCCAAAACGTGTTTCATCATGGGCTAGGTCCGTGACAGTTTCAACAAACGACATGTCAACTTTGGGAGGTGGAGGTGGATAACCAAAGATAACAACCAGCAGCTAAAGAAACTGAGGCCATAGCGATGAGCCGGATGTTATTGGTGGTCCCTCTATAACGAAATACAAGAACGTTAGGAGCATCTACACCCGGTCGCCTCAAACACGCCTTATACATTTGGACGGGCCGCCCGGTCACGATTTTTTGATCCAGAGAGGCCCCTCAAATGGCCCTCAAACACCCGGGCTAACCGGCACCCCCCATATTCAGCCCAAATATTGAGCGGATATGAGGGCGCCCGTCAAGTTGGACCCGACCCACGCTGTCTCATCCAACCCCACATAAAATTCTTCCCATTCGCTCGCCGGACCAAACCCTAGCCACTTCACTCCCCTCCC